TGTTTTTTGTGTACTTCTGTGTATATATCCGGGAAAAAAGCTTTAAACACCTTTATTGTATTGAATATTGCTTTTGCAGAATTTGAACCACTGTTCAAAGGTCTGTTATGTATAAAACCGTTTTGCAAAAGATGTTGATGGTTTCTACCACCATAGGGTTGCCTCTATATAGATGAAAAAAATAAGTGTCTGTGGTTCTCCTCTGATGTTCTGAGTTTTCTTAATATACCCATGCAGGCAAATTACTAAACATAGTATCAGATTCGTAATTAACGAATCTGATATTCAAGGACTCAAGTAATTAGGAGGCGCTTAATTAATTGCAATGAAAATAAATGGGGTATTCCATTTGAAAAAATAAAGTTACTCCAAATATCTGAAAAACTGTAAACTTGGCAACATTGCCAATGCCACTATCGAATCGGACATCATCAATAATCACCCTGTAGAAAATTTCGGGAATTTTTCTCAAGCCGTTCCTGAAATATGAGACCGTTCCGATACTTTTGAAAGGCACTGTATATCACCTGGCAAAATGAGGCTTATAATATAATAGTGCTGAACGGTGGTGGTTGACTGTCCCATACTTGACAGGTGTTTAATCTGTTCCTGAAAAAAGGACGAAACCTCTGCTACATTTTCTTCAAATGGATCTTCTTATGACGACCCTCGCAAAATAACCACCACAGGTTGAATGAAGTGTTGTACTGTTTCCTGTTTCTGTACTTATAGCCGAATATAATGATTCCAGTGATGTCTCTATAGTCTCTTCTAGGTACCCTGTCTTAAGAAAGCCTTCCTAATATTCTCCCTGCAATCAGGTTGAGGGATGCTGACTTAGGGTGTTTTGTTCTGGAAATGGAAGATAACAAATTATCATTGGGTTGGTTCTAAACACCAACATTTCAGAAATAAGTAGCTTCTTAAAGATTGGGAACCAACGGTTGTGTTGGTTAATTTGGAAATACTACAATACCCAATTCTCTTCCCGAATTCAGTAAAGATTACTTTTTATAGTTTATACGCTTAGTTTGCCGATTCCTACCTTATTTTCCTTGGTTCCCACCATGTTCTCTGAACATTACAGGATATTTGGCTCTTTCTAAAGATCTAATATTTTACTGCTAGACATGCAGCAGAGTGTATACCTACCTTCCAAAGCACTCTTCGCAAAAATGTTTTTTTGTCAATTTTGAGCAACAGGAAAGATTCGATCATATCGTGTGATACATCATTGTCATAAAAAAAATACTTTTCAAAAATGCAAAAATCCGATATGACGCCCATCAAAAACACAAATTTGAATGTTGTAAGTTTGGCATCAAGAACGTCATAGAAAATACGATACGATGTGAAAAAGTGCCTCGTCTAGGTAACTTGGTTTTTGCTTGAAAAAATAAAAATGAAAATTAACCGACTTCGTATCTCTTATAATAAATGAGATTCCATCATCGTGAAGCACGAATAAAAATGGGCAACCTGTATATGAAGTCAATTAAAATTACGTAAGATACAGGGGGGCTTCCAATTGAAGTGAGACACACTGTATATTGTAATCTATCTATATAAAAAAACGACTATGATATTTAGAAATTCAACATGGCGGATCCAATATAGCGGATTATGTTATTATGATCCGATTCTATTCAAAATTGATATCGGAGATTAGGATTCCTTCGTGAAAATGAAGAAATTCAAGATGGCGGATCCAATATAGCCGACGAGTTTTGTAATTATGTTCCAATTTCATTCTAAAATTGGTATCTGGGAATTTTCGGAGTCGGAGATTATGATTCTATCGTCGAAATATGAAATTTCAATATGGCGGATCCAATATATGGCGGAGGAGTTTTGTAATTAGGATACGATTCTATTAAAAATTGGTAACTGGGGGTTGTCGGGGTCGGAGATTATGCTTCTCTCATCAAAATTTGCGTTACCAAGATGGCGGAACCAATATGGTGGACGAGTTTTGTTTATGATCCGATTCTATTCAAAATTGGTATTTGGGAATATTCGGGGTCGGGAATTATGATTCCTTCGTCTAAATGTGGAAATTCATTATGATGGAACCAATATGGCGAACGCGAGTTTCATAATTATAATCCGATTCTATTCAAAATTAGTATTTGGTGCGCAGCACCCAAACGTACCCTGAAATTGTTGGATTCTCTCCAAAAAAGGGCAATTCGTCTCGTGGGTGACGCCTCGCTCACAAACTCACTTACTTCTCTGGAACACCGTAGGAAAGTTGGCGATCTGGCTCTATTTTATAGATATTTTCATGGACGATGCTCTTCTGAAATATCAACAATTGTTCCTCCCTTGGTAGTCCCCGCGAGATTAACCCGTCGAGTTGAGGCTTCACACCCCTTCGTGATCACTCTGGAGACCTGCAGAACATCTCTTTCCAAAGACTCGTTCATCCAACGAACAGCGAGGCTCTGGAACACATTGCCAAGGAAGGTGTGGACTTGGCAACAATTCTCGGATGGGGATCCGTTAACTTGGTAGATTTCAATGCAAACAAAACACAAGCATGCCTTTTCTGAAGGAAAGCCGATATCACTGTGCCCAACATAAGCTTGTCAGGAGTAACCATACCTTTGAAGACATCTATTTCGATGCTTGGTATTACTATCAGCAATAACCTTTCTTGAGGAAATCACGTGAGATCAATTGCTAGAAGTGCATCCAAAAAACTTGGTTGTCTGTTTCGAGCCAGGAGCTATTCTACTTCCAGTCAGCTGCTTAAGATCTATAGGGCACAGATCCGACCTGTCCTGGAATACTGTTCCCATATTTGGAGTACAACACCCGAACATACCCTGAAACTGTTGGATTCTGTCCAAAAAACGGCAATTCATCTCGTGGGTGATGCCTCGCTCACAAACTCACTCACTTCTCTGGAACACCGTGGAAAAGTTGGAGATCTGGCTCTGTTTTATAGATATTTTCATGGACGATGCTCTTCTGAAATATCAACAATTGTTCCTCCCTTGGCAGTCCCCGCGAGATTAACCCGTCGAGTTGAGGCTTTACACCCCTTCGTGATCACTTTGGAGACCTGCAGAACATCTCTTTCCAAAGACTCGTTCATTCAACGAACAGTGAGGCCCTGGAACACATTGCCAAGGGAGGTGTTTCCCGAGGCATATAACCTCCAGAAATTTAAGAAGAATACCCATTCCTATCTCATTTTCCTTGGTTCTCACTATGTTCTCTGAACATTACAGGATATCCCTCATCGTGGGAACCAGAACATAAAAAAATTTTGAAAATTAAAGATGACGCCAAAATGACGAACGAGTTTTGTAATTAGAATCCAATTCTATTCAAGACTGGTGTCTGATGGGGGTTTTCACCCTAATAACACAAGATGTCCATTGGATATCTGTATTGGGTCTATTTTATGTCCAAGGTGTCCATGGATACATTCTGGACAACAATAGGATGTCCACATGAAGATACCCAATGGATGTTCAGGTGGAGTAATCCATATGGTGTCCATGGACACAATCGGGACAACAATAGGATGTCCACATGAAGATACCCAATGGATGTCCAGGTGAAGTAATCCATATGGTGTCCATTATATGTCAAGTCAACCAAACTGAAATGATGAAGGGAGGTGTCAATAGAAACAACATATCACACCAATCTGAATAGAATATTATAGCTAGTGTTCTTGAATATAATCACATTTGAAATAAATACAACAACCAGAAACATAGATTCTATTTATTGACCAGATCTTATTCCTATACAATATGAATGCATACATTTAAAACATCCGATAAAATTTACCATATGGATGTCCAAGACAGATACAGTCGCATTAAAAAAAAGCGTACAAGTATACAGAGAGAAATTAACGTCATCCTATTCTGCATAAAACGGGCTATTGGGAATGATTGTTCACCAAATGTTGACAGTAAAGTTGTCATAGGTTCTCGAAACACAAAGCATTGGCTGAGCCAGTTTCACACAACTAGAACTAGGATCCCGAAATCCTCTCTTTTTAATACTTGTACGCTTTTTTATTGAATACGACTGTACCATATGGATGTCCTTGAGGGATACCATATAGATGTCCATGACGGATACCATATGGATAGCTAAAAAGTTGGAAACGCGATATCCTATGGATGTCCATAAGTCACCAGTGTACACAAACTGGATGTCCTATGGATGTCCGAGATGTCCAGATAGGAGGATGTCCATGCGTAGGACGTCCATTGGATCGAGTTGTGTTATTAGGGTAGGGTCGGAGATTATGATTCTCTCATCAAAATTGATCTGTTTTCTCAAGATGGCGGAACCAATATGGCGGACGAGTTTTGTAATTATGCTCCGATTTCATTCAAAAGTGGTATCTGGGGATGAGTCGGAGTCAGAGATTATGATTCTTTCGTACGGAGATTATGATGCCTCCGTCAAAATTACGGAATTCAAGATGGCAGATTCAACATGGCGGCCGAGTTTTATAATTATATATTCTATTATTAGGTAGAATTACACTTTACCAACCAAAGCTTACCTATCGAAAAATAATAATCTAATAGCTGGACGATAAAATTAACAAGTTACTTATTAGACTGCCCCCGCACTATTTTGCTCAAGGGACGCGCGTCGCTTTCGATTTCGACGCCGGATCAATAAAAGACACATTTTCTGGTTAGACGCACCTCGTAACAGCTCGAGTCGAATCGTAACAACCGCGTGCTGATTTCGCGACCTTATATAACTATTAACCGCTATCCACAGCTTTAGTCATACCTTATAGTCGATGAGGCTAAGTCTGTAGACTGTACCGGAAAATTATCTCGTCAGCACGGCCGAAATTTTGAACCGATCGCCCTGGGTGGTCGGGTGCAGTGTTAATGGTTAGCTCTTACCGCGGTAAGACGGGGTGGTAAATGCATGTAATGACCATGATAGAGCATCGATAGATCCAATAGAGACCCCGATAGGGGCAGGACATTCCGAGGATAATAATTATGACGGTGATTATGTCTCTGAGGAAACGAAATTGCCTGATTGTGTTCGCGATTGTTGTGTCCGTACCTTTTTGCTTGTTTGTGTTTTTGTCCGTGCCAGGTATGTGTCCGAAAAAATCCACTGTTCTGTCTCAATTTTATCATAATAATGATTTTTCATCCTTTGGAGCTCACCAAAAGGCATTCCTATTGTCTCCGGTAACTTCGTATGTATATATACACAATCAGCCAAAGAACATCTTGAATACGCCTTGAAGACGTACATAGCGGTACGTAGTAAGTACGCACAGACGTCTTACGTCCCAGAAAAGAGTTTTGGACGTCTTCAGGACATAGAATCATTCCAACTACGAAATTGCCACACAAAAGCTTCAAGTTATTTCCACACAATGCTCATAAAATGAACAGCACTGGTAGATTTCGGGAGAAAAACAACTACTTTCCTGGCTAATGCGACGCAGAACATTGAATTACATCCTCCCGAAATCTATGCATCGACTCGTATAAACGAATACTGATACAAGTGATTCTTCCCTGAATGCCTATTGATTCCGATTTAGCCAGGCAACGCTAAACACCTACAGACCGGTTTCGAGCTCTTTGACTCTCATCAGTGCAGGGCAGTCTCCAGCCAGCATTCAGGAACGAATCACTTGTATCAGTATTCGTTTATACGAGTCGATGCATAGATTTCGGAAGGATGTAATTCAATGTTTTGTTGTTCATTTCATGAACATTGTGTGGAAATCACTTTGAGATTTTTGCATTTATTCATGTTGAATCATTTTTCACTGGAATTGACAGGGGGTGTATAATTTTCTGACCAAAATTAAAGTATGCTGACCGAGCATTTCTGATTCGAATTTTCTCTTCAAATTGCATATTTGAATATCTTATATATATGTAGATAGGTATGAAGATGCTACCAGTGGAATTATTCTGATCGACCCTTTCAGAGGGGTATTTTATGAAAAAATACGGACCATAAATGCTCGGTCAGCAAGAATTTTCGAAAAACAGCAAGAATAAACTACCCCTCTGAAAGGGTGGATCGAAATAAATCCATCTATAAATCTATATGAGATATTCAAATAAGTAATTTGGTTGAAAAATTCGAATCAGAAATACTCGGCCAACAAGGATTTTTGAAAAACTGCGAGATTAAACTACCCCTCTGAAGGGATGGCTCGAAATAATTCCACTGATGGCATCTATATAAGATATTCAAATATATAATTTGATGGAAAAATGCGAACCAGCAAGGAATTTTGAAAAACTGCAAGAATAAACTACCCCTCCGAAGGGGTGGATCGGAATTATTTTACTGGTAGCATCTATATATTCATATAGAATATTCAAATATGCAATTTGAAAAAAAAATTCGAACCAGAAGTACTTGGTCAGCATACTGTAATAATTTTGGTCAGCAAATTATATTTCCCCATTTTTGAGCCGTTTTTTTAATACCTTCAGGAGAGAACCAATCGGAAGAAAACCACTATAATCCCTCAATGAATCGAAACTGATCAATTTCTTCACCTTGATTTCCTCAGAGATTTTGTTTATCGCTTGGTACGCACGAAAGGGAATCCCTATAATGTTCGAAGAACATCGTGCGTACCTAGGGAGGAGCTCGGGGATACTGATGCATGATAGGGGGTATGATTTGGATTTTTGGAACTTTTGGAGGTTATAAGTTCTTGGAAATACTTCCTCAGGCAAAGAAATGGGAAGAAGAATGGTTTTATCCTTCCTCAGGCAATGAAATGAGAAAAAGAATGGTTTTATCCGGGTTGTATACAGGGGCAAGGTCATTTCGTAAATGATAGGGCAATTAGGGCTGATGATAGATTGAGCCAAAATAATGTTGGCACAGTCGCATTAAAAAAAAGCGTACAAGTATATTACAGAGAAAAATTAACGTACTATCGCTATCAGGAATGATTGTTCACCAAATGATGACAGTAAAGTTGTCATAGGTTCTCGAAAACACAAAGCATTAGCTGAGCCAGTTTTACACAACTAGAACAAGGATTCCGAAATCCTGTCTTTTCAATACTTGTACGCTTTTTTATTGAATACGACTGTACATCATATTAACTGTGATATTAACCTTCCACTACTAACGTGGGTTCATGTAACATAAATACTAACGTCGAACTCACATTCCGCACGTTTATTTTGATTGAGTAAAGAATGAAAACCATGCAAAACTAAATCAGTCTTGGCAAAAATGTACAGGGTTGGGATAGAGTATGAAACCAAGCAAATATCTCGGTAATCGTTCGTTAGATTTATTTGAATTTATGAACAGGGTGATTACAAAATGTGTCGGATTTGAAAATGTTATCGCCAATGTTGCCACTTTTTCAGTTATTCCGGAACTCGTTCCGGAAATATTATTAACTTCCTTATTTTGATCTGATTTCATCGATCTAGCACACTTGGGGTCTAGCGGAAATGATTACAGAGATATAGGGTGTTCAAACTCAAGATTTTTCAACTTTAGGATTTTTTTGTGTTGAAACTATTCATTATAGGTCAAAATGGCTCACATGTCCCTATCTCGAGCCCTATCTCAACTTTTGATTAACTATCTACCTATCTACTGACATTTAATTGTAACGAATATGGGGTGGTTCAAGAATCAAAATTCTGATCACCCTGTATCTGTTTCAATTGAATGTCAGTAGATAGTAAATCAAAAGTTAAGATACGGACATGTGAGACGTCGGGTATTGTTTCATCCTGCTGGAAGATAGCTAATGGCTAGAATCCAATCAAACCCCAAAGAAGGAACCAGAAGCCTGCCCAGCAACTATAGGCCAATTGCTTTTTATACGTAACGTGATATGATATGATTAGAAATTGATTGACAGTCATCAACTCAGACATAACAAGAAAATTCAGTGTATCAGTGTATCTTTTGTGTGATTTTTTTTTCTCAATTTTCAAACGTTGTACTGATGATGCTGACGATCTGATTTTTGCTCGGATTTTTGTGAGTGTTCCCAGAATGTGTTTAATGTTACACTATGCCTATTATACTTATCAGTAGATAATGTCGGTCACTCGGTATTTTGATATTGATTCGGTATTAAAAACCAAAACGCCTCTTTTCCAGCAAGTTCAGTAGTGATATTGATCACATCTGGTATGCTGGTACCTATATAGTACGGTAGGTACCACCTAAAAATAGATTGATTATGAGAATGTTGTTAGTTATTCTAATTAAAAAAACATACATTGTGCAACCTCGTAATAATGGAATAAACACCTTATTTAACGACCTACTCTGTTTACATTTCATTGCAAAACATTATCTTAATTCAACTTTCAACAACAACATATTCAGTGGAAAACCAGGTACTTAAAATTATAACTTTTGCGGACATAATGGTTCAGAACATCAGGTAGTATTCCACAGTACTCTTGACACTCAGACGAAATTATCAAAATGTTTAAGTCGAATGCTGAACTTGAAAAAATACAAGTATACAGGGTGTTTCAGATTGTAATCGTGACAATTTCATAAGCGACAAAACTCATAAAAATCAGAAGATACGTTCAAGTGAACTTGGATATTTTCGAGGATATTTTGGAGCTTCGTTTTCGAGTTGAAGTTTCTTGATTCATCAGCTCAAAAACTCAAAAGCTAACTTTCACTAAAAAAGTTTGTTTGCATTATGAAAATATATCTGAATAACACCGAAAAAATTCAAGAGGTGTTTTCTTGTGACATTCTAGCAAATAAAGTATTTATAAACATGTGTCCTAACTTGCTCCGTTTCTGATATACATGATGTTGAAGTTGGAAGTATTAATTATTTTTATTTATAACCATCCTGTATAAGTTTCATGATGCCAAAATTCAGTGGATGGAGACTGTGAAAACCCCAAAATTTCAAAATGATTCTAATTGGTGTTATTGAGTAATCTCAATGGAAGTCTTGAAAACACCTACATTACAATTTGGAGTCAAATCGAATTTTTATTGTTACCTCAAAAACTAAGCTAGATAAAAAAATCACACATTAGATAAAAAAAAAAAGTTGTTATTCCAATAGTTCAATCTAATAGAAATATGAAACTCAGAAAAACCGATGGTGTACAATGACATTCACCATGAATAACGAGAAACTTACCCACTGTGACACCATTATAGGGATTCCCTTTCGTGCGCTCCAAGCGATAAAAAAAATTGCACTAGAAGAAGCTGCATATTACTGTCAACAAAAACAACGTTTTATCGAAATTAATGAGAAGACAATAATTATTGAGAAATGAACAGAAAAAAGATTTTCCATGGAAATATTGATACCCTGTGTCTCGAAAACGAAGCAACTTTATTTCCTAAAATATCACAAGAAATTACCCTATGAATTTTCACGGTATTATTTGGATACACCCTGTATATTTTTTTGTTTTGCTCCTCTAATTCCCCTATCTAGCATTTTTGGTTATTTAGACGATATAAATTTGGTTATACCCTTCAGGATTGATTTTCGGCTGACATTATTCTTTAATCGTTAATCTGCTTTCTTGCCGTTTCTTGCACATGGCTTTAATGTAGGTATTTTTTCCCCACAGTAGCATAATATATTATGACAGCCGTATAGTGCTGAAACTGATGACACAATCTGTTTATTATCATTTCATTTTGTAGTCAACCGAATTTGTTTTTATTTTTCCTTATCTGTAAAATGAAAAGACCTACGGAACTTAATGATTATTTGCACAGAATATGAATGGAATATAATTTTGAAAATACTTAGTTTTTGAGCAATAGTTGGTATAACAGTTGAAATCATTCTCCATTGTAGTAGTCAACCCGAAGTCAACCCCAAAACTTTCCCTATAGGGGCCTTTTTGAGCACAAAATACCTGTATTACATGGTATTTATTAGATTGTTGGTGCGGATTGTTCTACCGCAATGTTCACTCCAAAACGTCTTAAGCAGTATTAATTAACCCACTCTTCCCTACTGTTTACGTTTCTATTTCTTTCAGGTTTGAAAATAAAATAGATTCCAATCATGATGAATTTATTTCACATTTACGATAGACCATCACTAAAAATGTCGTCAACCAAGACCTAAT